TTAGATACTGCAAGAAATCAGTAAAGTTGATGACATAGCAATAGAATCTAGAAAATGAAACACTGAGGAAAAGACTGGGGAAAATAAAAGGAATAGAATATTAGTGACCTTGGAACAATAACAAGTAGCTCAACACACATATTTAATTCAAGTCCCAAAAAGGAGGGGATGAGAATAAAACTTCAAAAACATGTTGGGCAAAAATTTCCCAAATTTGAGAACTATTAGATCCACAAATCTGAGAAACTCAACAAAAACTAAGCAAAGTAAGCTTAAAGAAAATCACACTAGGGCACTGCTGAAAGCCAGTGGTAAAGAGAAAGTCTTAAAAATAGCCAGAGTACAAAAAGAAAAAAAAAGTAGCCAGAGTACAAATGTCGCATTATGTGCAGAAAAACAAGATAAGAATGACAACAGGCACCTTGTCAAAAACTATGCAAGCCTCAAGTCAATGGAACAACATCTTTAAAGTACTTAAAGAAAAAAAACAGTCAAGTTAGAATCTTGTAAGACTTAAACTATCAGCCAACCAAAATGATCTAATAGATATTTATAGAACATTTTACTTAACAACAGAATAAAAACCCTATTCGAGTACACACAAAATATTCATTAAGACTGACATTTTCTGGGCCATAAAATTAGTCTCAATAAACTAAAACAGATAGAAATAATACAAAGTATATTTTCTGACCACACTGAAACGAAACTAGGAATTGGCCAGGCACAGTGGCTCATGCCTGTAATCTCAATTCTTTGTGAGGCTAAGGCGGGAGGACTGCCTGAGGCCAGCAGTTTGAGGTCAGCCTGGGTAATGTAGCAAGACCCTGTCTCTACAAAAAAATAAGAAAAATTAGCCAGGTGTGGTAGTGCATGCCGGTAGTCCTGCTACTCAGGAGGCTAAGGCAGGAGAACTGATCGAGCACAGAAATTTGAGGCTGCAGTGAGCTATGATTGAGCCACTGCACTCCAGCCTTCCAGCCTGGGTGACAGAGCCAGACCCGGTCTCTTAAAAGAAAAAAAAATGTTGAAGGGCATAGAGGAACAGATGGTCATAATGAAGGTACAGATAGAGCATCTCTAAAGTGAAATGGAAACTATAATGAAGAATCAAGTGGCAATTCTAGAACTGAAAAATGTACGAGAAGTTCACTGGACGGGGAAAACTGCATATTGGAGATTGTAGAAATATGAATTAATGAACCTGAAGACAGAGAAAAAAATTAAAAAAAAGAAAAAAGAGCCTCAGTGGCCTGTGTAAAATATCAACCAGTCTAACGTGTGTAACTGGAGTCCCAGAGAGACAAGATAATGGGACAGAAAAATAATTTAAGAACAATGGTTGAAACCTTCCCAAATAGGTAAAAAATTTGAACTTGCAGGTATTTACACAAGCAGAATAAGTACAAAGAGAATCACTCAAGCACACTGTAGACATGCTGGTGAAAATCAATGGTACAGGAAAAAAATCTTGAAAGAAGCCAGACCAAAAAAAGACCCATTACACAAAGAGAAACAACTACATTAATGACAAGTACCTTCTCACCAGAAACAAAAGCCAGAAGATAAAATAATGACATCTTTAAAGTGCAGCAATGAGAAAACTCAATCCAAAATCTTATATCCAGTGAAACTATCCTTCAAATATACAAGTAAAATAAACATATTTTCAGATAGGCCAAACCGAGAAAATTCATTTCCAACATACCTGCACTATATGAAATGCTAAAGGAAGCTCTTTGGCCTCCCAAAAGAAGAGATACCAGAAGGAACCACCCCATCTGTAAGAGGGAACGAATAGGACTGGAGATAGTAAATATAGTCGCAAATATAAAAGACCGTCAGTTTATTTCCCTTTACTTAGTTCCTCTAAAAAAAAAACCTCAATATATCTAAAATAAACTCATTCTATACACTTTTGTTCCTAGCCTGCCAACCAGAGACCTTCTCCTTTTCCTCCTGTATTTCTTCATCAGACCTTAAGGAACATTACCATTTACTCAGTAGCTCAAGTAGGAAATCTAGGTACCATGCTCAAATCTTCCCTTTTCCTCACCTCCACCAAATCTTACTGCATTTCACATTAATCCTTTCAAATTTATCTACTTCTCTTCATCATCCATCATACTGCTATCTTAATTCAGGTTCTCATTTTTTTGCCAGAATCACTCCAAAACTTTATGAACTGGGATTTGTTTTCCCTCCTAATCCAATCTCAAAATGCCAACTGTTCTTACAGAAAAAAGAAAATCTGGCATGTTATTCATCTATGTAATAAACTTTTAATATGAAATCAAAAGTAGGTGGTTTAGTACACAAAAAGCTTAAATGATCTGGTCCTTATTTCTCAAGACTCAGATCTCTCAAATCCCCATCTTACCTCCTATATTCCAGTTTCCTGAGAGAACCATGATGTCCTTCACTGTCAGGCCTTCCCACATCCTGTTCTCTCTGCCTAAAAACCCCTTTTCTTCAATCTTTGTCCAACTAACTCAGACTCAATTTTAGAATTCTGCTCAGGTAGCTTCACCTGAGTTTCAAGCAGCCTTGTCTGATCCTTCATCTTCCAAGTCTAGGTAAAGTACCCATCAAATATAACAGCATGTGAATTTTATCCCACTGTATTCTAACTAATGTTTCCAACAGATCAATTTTGTTTATTTTTCAAAATTTGTACAATATAGTTATGTTAAACTTACCTGACAAGTTGCTGACAAATTTGACATCCTGGAAGGCATCTATAAGACACAAAAAGGTAAGTAAATTACCTCAAGGGAAAAGTTTTCTTATTTTAATCTATACTATATAAAACCCATATAAAAGTACAAAACAAAGGAAAATTATACATTTAATTTTTCCGTAGATATCAC